TATGCACTTAACAGGTTTTTTCTTGGCTGCACTTACCTATAATTACAAAACATGTTTTTTTAAATCTTCAAAAAGTTTATATAAAAAGCAAGAGGAAAATAATTAATGGCGTATATACAAACTTGCATGGATAAAAGGCCTAAATCATTCCAATATCAATCATGAGAACTTGAGACCAAAACCTACTATCTACTATGCAAATTTGTAATCCAAATGAGTGCCACCAAAAGAAAACCTGCAAATTTAGATTTGCAGGTTTTCCTTTGGCGACATTCAAATTATCAGTCGATCGCAAGATTTACTAAACAGAGTATATAATTAAAGCTTATTAATAACCAGGATATGAATTAATGTAAACTGGAAATAACAATGAATAATTTAAAAAAGGTGAAAATTTAAAATTTCCAACTCCAATTTTACTTGGCGTTATCCATATATTTTCAAATAGATGAATTTATGATTGTATTTGCTATTACAAAAATCAATAAAATTCGTATATGGCATACTGTAAGTATTTAAATATAAAAGGAACCGTTAGTTCTATAAATCCTTTAGATAACATTTGGGTGAATACTTTTTTTATTATGTCATCTAAAAATTTACTGCAAAAAAAACAAAGAATGGCTGTTAGTGAACATTTAAAACAAAAAATATATAAATATAGTCAAAATAATCCTAATAAAGACAAATAGATATAGCAAACCATTTTAATTCTCAAGATTCCAATTTAAAATTAGATCGGTCTATGGTTTCTAAAATATTAAAAAATAAATCAAAATGGTTAATGGTTACTAAAGACCAATTAAGTTCTACCATATTTCGACATAAACAAGTGAAATATCCCCTATTGGATCAATCAATGAGAATCTGGGTCGAACAAGTTACTAATAGTGAAATGTTTTTAACTGAACTAATGATTAAAGAACAGGCAGCGGATTTTGCAAAAGCCTTGAACCTGGGTGAAGATGCTTTAAAATTTTCAAATGGATGGGTTCATAAGTTTAAATAGCACAATAATCTTAGAAACATTAGATTACATGGAGAAGCTAATAGTGCGCTACTATCTTCGCTTTCTGAATATCGAGAAAAATTGCGTGAATTGATTAAAAACTATACGTTGGATAAGTGTTCAACGCAGATGAAACAGTGCTTTTTTTTCATATAGCACCAGACCAAACACTTGCATCTCGATCAAGACCTGGATTTAAAAAGGTTAGTAATTATATTAGTCTATTCCGAATTAATTCTTTGTTTA